AAGCCCCGGACGTCAACATCCTCCGGGCTTCGGCTGTGGGCTTATAGGGTTTTAGGGCTTTAGGGTTTAGGGTTTAGGGCTTGAGGGTTTTGGGTTAGGGGTTTAGGTTTGGGGTTTAGGGTTTTGGTGTTTAAAGTCTAGGGGCTTATGAATAATGTAGGGGGCCTTAGTAATTTTCAAGAGGGTTTCGGGCTCCTTTGCAGCATATAGCCATCATAGGGAACGCTCATAAAGAAGGCTTTAGGCTTTAGGCTCTTCCCACCCCTCTCCCAGAAGAAGCTAAAATCATGGCCCAACCCCTAGAAAAGGCGATTGCAAATCTACAAGCTGTTGGGGGTCAGGTAGGCTTAAGCCTCAAAGGGGGATGTACCTGTGCAGCATATGCTTTCTCTTTGGGGTAGCCTTTCAGGAACCCATGCAAGGCTCAGGTATCTACTACAGATGGGCATGGTGGGCATGGTGTCTAAACCCTAAGCTCGAAACCCTAAACCCTGAACCCTAAGCCCTGAATCCTAAACCCTATACCCTGAATCCTAAACCTTGAACCCTAAACCCTCTAAACTAAACCCTGCAAAAGCCTATAACCCCGCAAAGACCCCTGATACAACTTCATGAGACCCTTAAAGCCCTCAAGGAACTCCAAATAGCAATCAGGGTCCATCCTAGAGGGTTTGAGGTTTAGGGCTCCTTAAAGGGATCGATAAGGTTTAGGGTTTAGGGTTTAGGGCTCCTTAAAGGGATCTTTAAGGGTTAAGGGTTCTGTATGGGTAGTTCTCTAAATTAGGGTCCCTGTTGGGGCCCTTCAGTCAGAATAACACGACACCTTTGAACACAGGACCTTAACAGGTACCCTAATTTAGAGAACTAGCGAAATGCAGGTTGTGCGATGTCTTGGAAGTTTTAAAGCTTGTCATGTTGACTTGATGGCTTGCTTTTGGTTATATAAGGTTTAGGGTTTAAGATTAGGATATGGGATTCGGGGTCTAGGGTTTTAGGTCTAGGGTTTAGGGGAATGGGGCAGTGCTTTTACTCAGCGCCGTCTTCTCGGGTTAAGGGTTTCTGGGTTTAGGATTGACGGTCACATGAAAAATTGAGCTAAGAGAGGGAGCAAAACAGAGGTACCCCAAAACAAACCCATGCAGTGAAATCGGGCTCAATCGTCATGCGCATGGGTGGATTCAATGATTAGAACGAATGCTCCCTGTTGAGAGCTCCAAGAAAGGTTTTCCTGATTTTCAGAAACCCCGTTTCAGCTACATAGGTGGTTGTCAAAATTATGGTCCCTTTTTGGGTCCTTGTTATAATACGGCACCTATTATTTCGGGGACCCCAAAAGGGACCATAATTTTGACAATTACCCACATGATACTCGGCGACAAAAGCCCCTCTTTCTGCTCAAACGGGGAGTAGCCTAGCATCCTGCACCTTAAGCCCTAAGCCCCAAACCCAAGCCCCTACAGTAAACCCGAACCCGGAACCCAAAACCCCAAACGGCCCTAAGCCCTAAACGGCTCTGCACCCTATTTAGCTGCAGGCTCGGGGCGACACCGAACAATCCAAAAAACCCGAGACCCTAAAGCATGAAAATGCCTGTAGACGCTGCGCTAGCGTGTCGAAGTCGGCCGTGCCAATCTCGACATAATCCTCGTGCTATGCTGTTGGGAGTTTTCCGGTTTAGGCTCCCTCTCATGGCACTTAAACCGAAAAGCTCCAAATCAGTGACGGTCACTCCAATACCAAATCCTCAAGCTTGAGATCACTTAGTGTTCGGGATTTAGCTCACATGCACGTCATTGGTAAGGTCTTCGGAGCTCTTGCTGAAAGTGCTTGCAAGCTCTTTAGGATTTATGTCTTTATACATAGTAAAACCCTAAACCCTAAACCCTAGACCCTCAATCCTTATCTATTTTTACCAGAAGCCGGAGAGCTGTTTGTATCAATGGGCTGGTCGAGAGCCTCCAGCGCTGCTTGTGGTACTCGCGCTGCCAACGCCCAACATCCGTATAGCACAATCTAGCATGGTGTAATGTATCATAGAGTATAGTATACAAGTCTTGAGCATAGAATATAGTATAGGTTTTGGTATATATAGGTGTAGATAAGCACGCAAACGCAAAAAAAACCTTAGGCAAAAGACGACTCCTCAGCCTTTGTGACTATATTCTCAATCAGGGATACTAAATATGTGATACTGAACCCCCTTTAACCCCGACACACCCTATAAAAATCCTGAAATAGCCTGAACCAGAAACACTTTACAGAGCGTAAGCACTGTAGATACTACATAGCCTAAGCCCCATCTGTGCAACATAGGGGTCCTCCGGATCAGGATCATACTACCCCTAACCCTAAACACTGCATTTTCTGTTAAACTCCCAACTCGACTGTCCTGCTACAACCGAAGCGCCAGCGTTTCGGAGTTGAAGGCTGCGGTGCTTCTTAGGGTTTGGGGTTTACCTGTAGTCTCCATTGTAGTTCCTTTTGGGGGGATACCTCATCAAATCCTTAATGTATAACTGGTTAAACCAAAAAAGGAACTCCAATGGCGACTATAGGTAGGGGTTTGAAATAGTGCAGCTTGAGCTGCACGTCTCTGGCACTGTTGGTTTTTTAGATGTGTACGTTGTCCGGAAGGGCACCTGTATAGCAACCCTTTCGATGCAAGGTATATACCGTATAGGTACATTGAACCCTAACCCTAAACCCTAAACCCTGAAACCCGAAACCCTAAACCGTGTTGCGTTTTGCAGGGGTATTGTAGGCCCTACAACACCCTTGCAAAACACAACCAAAAGCCTTTGCTGGAAGCCTTGAGCCCCATAAGGAAGGGTTTAGGGTTTAGGGTTTAGGGTTTAGGGTTTAGGGTTTAGGGTTTAGGGTTTAGGGGCCTTCATAATTAGACTAGGGTTTTGGGGCTCTTTTGTAGTATAGTTATAATAAGGAACTAGGGTTTTGAGTTATAATAAGGAACTGGGGTTTGGGGTTCTTTTGTAGTATATAGTTGTAATAAGGAAGCTTTAGGAAGACTATTGGTAGTTATGTGGGCTTCTATCTTAAACCACACTGGGATCCTCGGAGCCCCCTGTTTTCGCAAGACCCTAAACCCTAAACCCTAAACCCTAAACCCTAAACCCTAAACCCTAAACCCTAAACCCAAGGCCCTGGCGTAAGCTTCACCACGGCCTCGGAGCACAGCCAGTGGCAGGAACCTGGGCAAACTTGACCGCAAGGCCCCACCTTCCCATGGGGCTCCTTAGGTATGTACCTGTAGTCTCCATTGTAGTGCCTTTTTTTGGTTTAACCAAGTTCCATATTTAGGATCCCAGGGCTCCTTACCCAGAGGCTCCAAAGTAGTTCCTTTTTGGGGTTCGTTATGGTTTTTTGGTAAGGAATTATAGTATACTATCCAAAAAGGAACTACATAGGAGCCATTGGGTAGGTATGTAGGGTCCGTGGTGTGGGGCTTAAGGCGTATGTCAGTGGTTGGGGTCCTGACTGGCATTTAGTAGTTCTTAGATCTTAGGGTCCAAATCCGGTTCTGCGGGGTCAGAGCCATCTTTGGAGTGGTCTTACACGTAGAATCCTTATTACTTGGAGGATCATGAGACTTAGCAAGTAAGGTTATAAGTTATAAGTCCCTTAATTGGGGTTATAAGTGCAGTTACCTTAATTATAACCCTACTTGCTAAGCCCCATGATCCTTTAAGTAGGGGGAGGGCAGGGTCCGGCGGTCTGCTCCGCAAAGAATCCCACAGAGCATCCCTAGGGCGCGCCTCCAGAGGGTTCGACGCCACAGACATGCAACCTGAAAACCCTTGGGGGTTTAGGGGTTACATAGGGGTTTAAAGTTAGGGGTGAGGAATTTACGGTCTATTGGGGTTTACTGAGGGTTTATAGGAGTTTAAGGTTTTGGGTTTGTCAAGACCATGCCTTGCCTCAGAGAGTCCAGCAACGGATCCTGCCGATTCGAGCCGTGGAGCATGAACAGGTGGCACCCAAAAAAGCTCTTCGAAGAGACGGAGCGGTTCTAGGGGTGGAAGTTGGAGCACCGGGACCAGCCCCCGTGCCTTGGTGCACTGGAGCTTCGTGGCGTTGAAGTTTCCGGCTGCACAGCCTCCAGTCCTGCTTCAACGCGCAGGTTGCTTCCAGGCAATCACCCGGAGGTGGAACCCTACACCCTAAACCCTAAACCGAAAACCCTAAACCCTAAACTGTAAACCCCTAAACCCTAAACCACATGTGCCTATGGCAGCAGCTGTGCCGTTTCCGGCACCAGTGGGCAGTCCACTGAGCTATGGGCCCAGGCCAAAAGCAACAGCAGCGACAGCAGCAAACCCTAACCCTCCAGGTACCTACCTATAGTCTCCATTGTA